TCATGTAAGTATTTGTGTGAAGTTTCTCACAAATAAACTGGTTACTGTTTACAGTCTTTTCACTCCCTGTCAGATCTGCTCTGCTCTCTCTCTCGCTCGCTCTCTCTCTCTCTGTCTCTCTGTCTCTCTGTTTCTCTCTCTCTGTCTCGCTCTCTCTCGGGGAAGGGGTTGGAGTTATCACTTTTATAACTGGAGAAATAATTACCAAAGAAATTAACAGAATGGCAAGATCAATGAATTTACAATACAATCAAGCACGTTGATCTCACCTGTCCTCTGCATACTGAACATGGGCAGTGAGGCATGTAACGTAGGACAAGCGTCAGATTAAGATGTTTCGGAAAGAAAGCAAGAAATCAAAATATTGTATAGAAAACAATCACAATTTATTACATACAAGTATATAATCACACTAAAGCACATCCACACTCACTCTCACTTCCTCTAACAAGCACACAAAGTTCCAAAAAGGCGTCCAACACAGCACGGCACAACACGGTCACAGAATACGTAAGTCCTTTTCACAACAAGAAACAAGGTAGCAGCTGAACCGCAGCCCAGCTGAGGCTCCCGCGAACAAGAGTTCCACACGGGTGTCTATCAGGGGGACTTCCAAGCCTTCCCCACTACATACAACACCAGAGACGTAGTGTATGCTCTACCACCTAGATAGTGTGCTCCAAACTATCCCCGACAGTTGAGGACATGTCTCCCTACGACGGAGATTCTCTACGGCGATGAAAATGCCATCGGTGCCTTGACCCGACTGTAACGACCAACAATCTTCCTGTGGCTGACCTGGGTCTATGACCGGCCCCGTTGCTGAAGCTGTGGTTCCTCAGGTCCTGATAGGCGTATTTGTAGACTCTCACGCCGGCATGGAAAGCTTAAACAACAAACAATACACACAAACATTCACTCTGATAACCATCACAAAAATGACAACATATCGTCCATACAAAGTACACTACATACGTTAAATACCTAATTATTCATTCCATATGGGAATAAACACACAATATTTGCTTTAATTCTCAAACTAAGTCGTGCGGTGGTCCATACTTACGCTATAATTTTGACAAAGTAACGCATATGGCGACTAAAGGCTTCCATACTTTTTTAAACCGGCGATATTCAGTGGATTATCGTTCACCTGTACAGGGACATTAATACAAAAGTTATCATTTAAGCCCTACTATATACTACAAATGACATATGATAAACATAATATTTAGACTTCAGCGATCAAAACATGGAAATATTAATATATCAACAAAACATACACGCTTACAACTCTAATCAATTGCTACGCTTGATTGGACCGCACGCTAAGATATATATATTGGAAATACATTTTTCCCGGAAAATAAGACACTCTAATAGACAATTAGTAAAGAGAAAGAGATGTAACAATATTAGTTACTCACCACAGTCTGTATTCCGTGCCTGTATCCATGAGAATCGGAAAAATTGACAACAGGTAAACACTACACAGCCATTAATATCGGCATACCTTGCCTGTAGTGACGCTCGCCAAATTCCGCACGTGCACTTCCGTTTTAGCCGTACTTACAATCGTGCCATACGGACTTATGTATAAGAACAGACGAATCATAGACAAAATCTATACAAATAATTACATGCGAACGTGACAAGGCACAAAGAGAAACATGTACGATAGATAGAGATCCACCCAGCAACGCTCCAGAATCCAAGTATCCAAGACAGTTTTATCACCAACACCCTTTCTTTTTTTGTCCCATAACTAAGGTCCAAGAAGAAACTCTACAAAATATGAGAATGGTTCATTCAGTGCTTTGTAGCTATAAAAATATTCCTGCCAAGGCCAACATGACCATATCAATTTTCTATCGTCGCCAAAATCGACAGAAATACAACTTAGGACCTAGGAGAACCTACATATGAAGTTTATGGGAATGATCAATTTAAGACTTGTTTAAGAAATAGTTTTATTTATGATCTATCTATCAAGAATTGTTTAAGGAAAGACAGACGACCAGACAACGGACTGAGGACTATTTGAACAGCCAGCCGCCATGGTGGTTGGGTGGGCTAAAAATTCTTCATAGAATTCCTGAAATTTTAATACCATCAAATTATCAATATTGACAGAATTATTTTCAGAACAAATTTGTTCACAACATGGCGGGTTGGAGGGGGAGGAGGAGAGGGATTATTTATATGGAATTCTCGCCAACTTGCTCTTCTTAAGCCACATTTCAGATAGTTGATACTTTGTTGCATTGCAGATATGGCTTCTGGTGGTTTATTTGATTGGGTAAAAGGTAGAGTGAATGTGACTTATTCCTACGCGCTGGAGCTGAGATACAATGGACAGTATGGGTTTCTGTTGCCCATAGAACAGATCCAAGACACCGTAGAGGAGACGTGGGACGGTGTCAAGGCCATACACCGTAGAGGAGACGTGGGACGGTGTCAAGGCCATGCACTGTAGAGGAGACGTGGGACGGTGTCAAGGCCATGCACTGTAGAGGAGACGTGGGACGGTGTCAAGGCCATACACCGTAGAGGAGACGTGGGACGGTGTCAAGGCCATGCACCGTAGAGGAGACGTGGGACGGTGTCAAGGCCATGCACCGTAGAGGAGACGTGGGACGGTGTCAAGGCCATGCACCGTAGAGGAGAGGTGGGACGGTGTCAAGGCCATGCACCGTAGAGGAGACGTGGGACGGTGTCAAGGCCATGCACCGTAGAGGAGACGTGGGACGGTGTCAAGGCCATGCACTGTAGAGGAGACGTGGGACGGTGTCAAGGCCATACACCGTAGAGGAGAGGTGGGACGGTGTCAAGGCCATACACCGTAGAGGAGAGGTGGGACGGTGTCAAGGCCATGCACCGTAGAGGAGACATGGGACGGTGTTAAGGCCATGCACCGTAGAAGAGACGTGGGACGGTGTCAAGGCCATGGCGTGTGCTATTCAGCAGACTTGTTGATCTCGTCACGAATAAGTTTTGTTTAGAAACTTCAAATAAACAAATCCCAATCTTCCAAGTTTTATGGTCTTTAAACATATTTTTTATATGTGTTGTCAGTTATTTTCATCAAATACCAGGAACCATTACTAAGTTCAAAAGAATACACTGGAAATAACTATCAGACTAACGGCATAATTATACACACCTATCTGTCCTGTCTATACCAGTATTACTATAAACATTACGGGTAGTAATATGTCTGTCCTGTCTATACCAGTATTACTATAAACATTACGGGTAGTAATATGTCTGTCCTGTCTATACCAGTATTACTATAAACATTACGGGTAGTTATATGTCTGTCCTGTCCTATATCAGTATCACCATAAACATTACGGGTAGTTATATGTCTGTCCTATATCAGTATCACTATAAACATTACGGGTAGTTATATGTCTGTCCTGTCCTATATCAGTATCACCATAAACATTACGGGTAGTTTTATGTCTGTCCTGTCCTATATCAGTATTACTATAAACATTAAGAGTAGTTATATGTCTGTCCTGTCTATGCCAGTATTACTATAAACATTACGGGTAGTTATATGTCTGTCCTGTCTATACCAGTATCACTATAAACATTACGGGTAGTTATATGTCTGTCCTATATCAGTATCACCATAAACATTACGGGTAGTTATATGTCTGTCCTGTCCTATATCCGTATCACTATAAACATTAAGGGTAGTTATATGTCTGTCCTGTCTATACCAGTATTACTATAAACATTACGGGTAGTTATATGTCTGTCCTATATCAGTATCACTATAAACATTACGGGTAGTTATATGTCTGTCCTGTCCTATATCAGTATCACCATAAACATTACGGGTAGTTATATGTCTGTCCTGTCCTATATCCGTATCACTATAAACATTACGGGTAGTTATATGTCTGCCCTGTCCTATATCAGTATCACTATAAACATTACGGATAGTTTTATGTCTGTCCTATTTCAGTATCACTATAAACATTACGGGTAGTTATATGTCTGTCCTGTCCTATATCAGTATCACTGTAAACATTACGGGTAGTTACATGTCTGTCCTGTCCTTTATCAGTATCACTGTAAACATTACGGGTAGTTACATGTCTGTCCTGTCCTATATCCGTATCACTGTAAACATTACGGGTAGTTATATGTCTGCCCTGTTCTATATCAGTATCACTATAAACATTACGGATAGTTCTATGTCTGTCCTATTTCAGTATCACTATAAACATTACGGGTAGTTATATGTCTGTCCTATATCAGTAACACTTTAAACATTACGGGTAGTTATGTCAGGACCGTTTATACTTAGTTTGTATACACTAGACTTTGTCTTCTTTACTTTATTTTTTTATTACTATGTTAACAACAACTGTTGTGTGAAATATCTGTGAATTGCATTCCTAGTGGAACATGAAATAGAAGTTTTGTTAATCCTTCAATTCTCAAAATTCACTCAATTATTATATTTTTTACCAAAAAAATATTACTCCTAGAGCGATTCTGAGTTGCTGGACTGGACATTCAATTCTTGAAGATATTCTGATGTGGTTGATGCTTTGTACACCATGTAATAACCACGTTTTGGTTAGAGCTGGACTTTCTCAGTAATGACCACGGTGCAAAACTTCCCTGTGGAATGCTGACGTCTTGCCAGAGCATGTACATCAATGTTTGTCGCCGATTGCATTCTCTATTGGAAAACCCAATAAAGCAACGACAAGTACAAGGGGAGCTAGATAGCCTTTTACCGTGACAGGTCGAGTTCAATCCCAGACAATCATATTCTGTAGGTAGTGGACTGGTGTCAAATGCTTCTAGGTTACCATCGATAAAAGCTCGGGGTTTGGAAAGCCGTTATTCAGTGCCGCCAATAACACTGTCTGTATAGCACGAAAACCTTATGTTATGGAATCCCTCACAAGCTCAACATCCAGAAGCTGGAGATCGTGTAATGGAAATGTTACATTACAAACAACACAACACTCCAATCATTTCGTGTTTTTATTTACCACTTTAAAATCAATAATATCAAATACTTGGTCACTCAAAATCACGTAGTATCCAATAAATTAATGGATTCAGGTTGTGAAAGACTAAAATATCTTCAATGCTTGACCACTGGTCTCAACACAGCACTCCATTCTAGGGTACAAATATTGCTTTAACATGATCAGAAACTAGAGGACTTCACCACAACAGATACAACCATCTTGCTCTTTTATTAGTACAACCAGGTCACTTTTTCAACATTCATTCCCCCCTCCCCCTTTCATCGTTATTTTGATAAGGATGACAATTGTGACTATCCTCTTTTGGTACAGGTAGCAACTTGCTGGAGTCGAAGTTGTTCTATCATAAATGTCTTTATCAACAGCACAAATATATCTACACCATCTAAATATTCTTGTAGATAATCGTTACAACCATTAATTAAAGGAGAGGGTTTATCATATCCATATCAACGTTCATCGTCTCTCAAAATTCACTACTGTGTACTCCAGATTTTATACCTAGATTGGTACTCGTTTCCTAATTTGTTCAATGGTACACCGATACCAGTCCTCATCAATTAAAGTAAAATTATTATTGGAGGAAGACTTGCTTTCAAAATTTCAAAAACCTTCTAAAAAATAACTAAAAAGTATTTTTCAAATCAACATAATACAAATGTCATTCAAATAAAACCATTTCATTTGATATTTTAGATGTTTGAAGGACTAATCTTGGAAAATACTTTTTGGACTCCAGGACTTGCTATAAATCACTTCTACTGACTTCAGTTTTTCTGCCCATCACTTCTAAGGCAGAAATGTAGGAGAAATGTACTAATTTCTCTTCCTGGTTCAAGTGTGTTGTTTTAATATCTGATTACTGTTAAATTCTTGTAGCAACCTTTTTAGACACCAACACTGAAATAACATATTACATCCTACATCACATTGTGTAACAGGCTATTGTAATACCTACTCAGCAATCTATGTTGATTTAATAACCCTATGAAACAAAAACCAGGTCTTCCAACAAAATATTACCTAAAATCCAATGTCATATCTTCAAAACATACAACCTTCATGTTTTGACATTTAAAGCAGTGAAAAGTAGTGATCATAGCAACATCACAGGTAATGGTGATCCAATATCAAGAGTATTGAACAGATTTCCATGTCAAAAATACAATGTTGTTGGCAGCAAATGTACAGAAAACGTTTCTACTACTGGCAAAGAGGTAGAACAAATTCGTCATTTTGAAACAATTCAATAATTATCATCGATTTGCTTGATCTATTATTGCCAAATAACCCCAGATGTGAATAGCATAAACAGAGGATTGCAAACCCAAATGGACAATATCAGTTAAATCTTACCATTTTTTGCCAAACAGATAAAAAAATGTCCCATGATAAAATTGCTTTGTACCATATGAAGAAGATTTCAAGTATAACTTCTTTAAGGCACAACGAAGAAGCAAGCTGTAGGGAGTTTACCCAGCACTAAATTACCCTAGTTCAGTTGTTCATCATGTTGCTAGCCCAAGTAAAATTTTCAATTTTATTGAAATTATGGTCAAAACTATTCCAAAATTAAGAAAACAAAAGAAGAAATTGCTCTTAAGTTTAAAAACTAAAACATTAAGAAAAAATGTTGAATTAATTGCTGATGTAATCAATAACACTGGCCCCAGATGTATCTACATAAAATGTCTTCATATCAACTCATATATAAATATACCTTTATCTAAAACGCACAAAAATAAAATTAAAAGGACAAATGTACCCAAGGTTTTGTTTAACTATACTGATAGTCAAAACTTAACTTGTACTCCGATCTTTACTTAAAAAGTTCTACATATAGTACGCCCTTTATAAGAGCTAATTATTGTACAAAAAGTAAGACAGAGTCAAGGTCCTTGTATCAGGCTTTAGCCTTGACCTCGAGACTAATGTCCTCAGTAGCACGACTTAGATGGGACTTATAAATTATATTATTAAGTTTTTTACATTGGAAAAAAAAGTTCCAAATTATTCAGCACTTAAAATGAAGAACTTTAAGACACTCCCCTGACAAACCAGAAACGAAATTCTGACAATAACATGCTGATATAATACACTCGGTTTCCTTCCAACCTCACCTACTATTAGTTTATCCAAAAGTGATCTCCCTTTTAAATACTGTAGTTCCTATAAGCATTTCTCCTTGATGTACTCGTTACATCATCAACTTTTTGCTTGGCAAACTTAAGCAACAAAACTGGGTTTGAATGTAGAATATGAAGTACCTCTAATTAACAACGATAGCCAAGGTCTCCAAAAAGGCCTGGCAATAGTCTGGTGTCTCCAGGATACCTCTCAAGACTAATATCCTTCGTTTGAGCTCAACCTTTAATATCATGTTTAAACCTAAAGATGAACAAATGGATGGACGATAGTGTACAGCTTGGACAAACTGATTTCTCAAGCTGTCTTTCCTCTAATGAAGAAACTGAAGGCAGATCAATAACCTTTGTCAAGGAATTAAACTTTTAACTGAATACATGTGAGCTAAATAAGATAGATAATTTTGGCATACAAGGCATTCAATTTTTAGTTAAGGACAATAATATCTCGCTAGTTACATCAATTTACCAATATGGCAGAACAATCAACAATGTGTACAAAGAACTGTACACCATTCACATCCTCATTCAACACAAGGAACTTCATTCTTAAGTCTTATCCTTCCAAAATATCCCTCACTGTAGTTCTCACAAGACATAAAACACACAACTTGTCTCGCGTTAGTCTCAGTACATCTTTCTCACACGAACACAAACACAAAGTCACAGCCCCGGTTGGATTATATCATATATATTGTACAAGGTAGGCCAAGTTAAAAAAATACCTGTTCCTATGAACATGCTACAAACTGTTGATAACAAAAATTGGTTGTCTATTATTTGATTGCTCTCATTGGAGTAAAATTCTTTGGTGTTTTTGTTTATTTACCTAACAATAAATTCCAGAAAACAGAAGGATCTTTGAAACATGGCCTATAGACACCAGCATCTGTCTTGTACTAATGACATGAATTTAAATTATCACATATATTTAATTTACATTAAATTTTATATGTGCGAAGCTATTATCACAGCCTGCAACATTGCATACAGTTGAATCTTGGTCCCTGAGTCCTGATACAATGGACACATCTGGGTTCCTTAGCTTTATACAGGAAGCTGTAGGAAAGCAAATGAAAGTTTCGATAGTACAAAAAGAGATATCGTATCTTGCATTCACTTCTTCATACATTAAATTCTCATATATCTAAGACAACCAGATTTCAAAAGGTGATCTCTCTATTACCCTTATTTCACAAATAATTTGAATTTTGACTAACCAAATTGTGTTTGTTGAAACTTATTTGATACACATTTTCCTTAAAGAGTCCTGGCATAAATAAATATTTACTGAATACTAAATTATCACAAGTCTGTGACCTTGAAGGTAACTAACATGACTCCTGTCATGATAACCTTAGACAATTCTTGTGAAAAAGTAGGTATCTTTTACAATTTAAAAGTGATGTTTGTCTAATCAGTATTGGTTCAGTTGTGAATCAATTTTAATAAAAATGACTTCAAAGGCTTTCCTAACAACCTTAAAGTTAATGTAAGGAGCCTAGATACTTAAAAACTCCATTTACCGTTTCATCCTCTGAAAAATTATTTGGTCGTCTATCATCAGGATTAGAGTCTCCCTCATGGTCTAGGTAAGTATCCTGCTGGGGACAAGCAAAGAAACGCACATCACGATCACTGTCAGATTGCAAGTTATGCAGAGTCCTACACATCTCATCATACAGAGGGTTCTTTGGCGATGTAAAATATTCTGAAATAGAAAAAAAGAATAAACAGGTAATGACAGGCAATCGGTAACTTAATTCTATCGTCTAGGGTATTTCTTCCAAAGAAATTCAGTTTTCTTTAAATAACAAATAAAATTTTCAAAGCCTTCCTGATCTTATATCAGGACTTAAAAACCAATAACATCTATTCCATCTTGGGTATTACTTCAAAACAAATTTCATACATCAAAAGGTATTAATTTCAATGTCTTACCACGAGTGAATATATGTCGAGACATCGTTTTGGCAACAGAAATTCTCACATTTGGCACAACATCATGACATAGAGATAAAAGACTTGGCACCAGTTCTGTAGTAAAGATCTCTATAGGAACAGAATCTTCCTCCAGAATATATTCTATCAATTGAGCATACCTGAAACATAGAAGCTTACATGAGGAGTTGTTCACTGAATATCCTTACATTGACCTATCATCCATTGTGCTTTCGTCACTAACATACACATATACCACATAGTTGCCAAATCAAGACAGTTGCCTCTCAATCAATTTGTTTTCTGATCAGCCCAAAAATCAAAATCAAAAGAGCACAATTAAGGACTGAGGGGGAGCCTTCATTTCAAATTTGAGAAAAATGTGTCCAGTACTTCAAGATAAAGTGGTGAAAAGCTTTCATTGTCAGAATCCTATCTGGCCATCTGTCATCAGTTCTAAAATCAAATGGCAACAACTAAGGATCAAGGTGCACCTACACATGAAATTTGAGAAAGATCTATGCAAAACTTCTCATAAAATAGCAAAACAAACAATAATTGTGCAATGACACAAACTATAAGCAATTCAAATGACTCACCATCTTATGATAATTTAATAATAACCCTAAATACTTTGTAAACTTATTATTAAAATTCTAGATCTACTTACACTTGTCTTCGAGCCCACTTGTTGCTCTCAGCGAATTTTTCCTTCAAGGCTTTCACCAATCCTACAGTCAGTTTTTCATCATTCTGGTCAGCCATCCGCTTCATCATGATGCTGAGCTGTAAAAAGAATACCTTAAGTATGATTTGTTTGCATCACTGACTATAAAACATCAGGCAAAATTCAAAAATTCTTGAAATGTCACTTTGCTATCATTTTCTTTCTGACACTGTTAATTCTACCAAAAACAATAAAGCATTTTTTTTTAAATTTTAACTAATATGCGGATGGTCCACATAGACCTGTTGTACCCTGTGTGTATCATGAAGCTGAATATACCACCACCAAAATAACAAAACTTGTCACCAGGAATAGAGAATTACATTATCATAAAATATGAAGCAGAGCCTGTGTTAGAACTTACCAGTCTGAATGCTGCTTGACGAACCTCTGCCACCTTGTCTTCTGCTAAAGTAATGCCAAGGGGAAGAAGGTAGTGGCTGACTTCATGTGCTGAGAATAGCTCGGACATCAGCATGAGCTGACTGAAAGACAAACACAGACAAAATGACTACTTGGATGTCAATGTGCCGAGAAGAGCTTCAGTATCAGTAAGCATTGACTGAACCAGTTAAAAGAGTTGCTATAAAACTTAAAAAGTTACATTAAATTCTATACTAACAAAGCAGTAACTTACTCTGCTAATTCCAGTCGGAATCGCCAATTACGACAGTTGTCTGTATTCATAAAGCATTCCACTTTCGTTAGGTACTGTTGTCGCATGTCAGGTTTTAAAAGCTGTAATACCAAATGCATATTGAAATAAAATGGTTTCCACAAACAAGGATTTTTCTGATCAAATATGCCATTCAACAAATTCCTACAATTGCTTTGTAATTAATCAAGGTCCATGACTTCATTTCCATGTAAATAAAACACATATTGCAAAACTTCTCCGATACCTCCATATCCTGCAGCATATATTTAATGATATACTAGCACATTTAGTAACTTTCTGTAACGCAGCAAAAATTTAACCTCATTTGCGCTAAAAAGTAAAACTGTGTGAAACACTTGGGCAGTGATGCAGTAATTACAAAGAATCCATTCAGACAGAATGGATGTACTTACTCTTAGAAAGTCTGCTAGATGTTTCAAAACCCCAATTCGGACTTCATCCAAATCTTTAAGGAATCCATCAAATACTGGAACAAGGTCTCTGTGTGTTATCTCCTCTCCGAGGATTAATGCCATTTCATGTATAGAAAAGGCCAATGTTCGTCGAACCTTCCACTACAGAAAAAACATTATGCTGTAAATCTTATTTAATTACATGTGTATTTCATAACTGAAGACATATGCTAATGAAATAAAACTTTTAATCAACACACAAAATGAGTAGGGAACTGAAAAATAAGAAACCCATAAGATGAGTACATGATGTTGGATTTTATTACATGCCCCTACTATAAACATGTATCAAACTAACCCTGTTCTGTCCAAATACAAGCAGGTCTGTCATTTTAAGGAGCAAATCTGCCTTTCTGAAGCTTTCATATAAGTTTTGTAAATGGTCAGTCAATAACTATAATACCATTTAAGACGAAATAATCATAGAATTCCTTTATGTGAAGTTGCCAAATAGAAGTAAAAAAAAAAAGTGTCACAGTAAACAATAACACCATTTTTAATCAAAAATGCCTTGGACTAAAATATGTTTGTTTACCTGCATATCTGTGGCCAGCACATCATACAGCATCTTGATACAGTTCCAGTTTTTACGTCCTAAAGTGTAAGCTACAGCTGGCAGATTGTAGGCACAGTGACGTGTGATCTCCGTGTCCACAGTTTGGGCCCGAGATGGATCTGCCATACCCAGGTAACTCTCCAGCAGGCTCTGAGGCACTATATCCTGGTTTAAACACATCAACATCTGCTTCAATATAACAATCTATTCTCCATAAACCAATTAGAACAATTCAGCAAACTTCAGTCCCCCACCAAGTGTCATATTACATAATGCACTGAAAGTGAACCCATGCCCATAATAAGAAATTCCAGCGACTAAAATATTAGAACAATGTGCGTAAATTTTAAGCTAAAAACCACAAGTTTCATCAAGCACACACTAAATTTATTTTTAATTTCCATATAATAAATGCTTTAAAAGTACATAAAAAAATAAAAATAAATATGAGTATGTTTTTCTTCATTTACAAGTAAAACACCACTGGTAGAATTAATACCTGTTGTTGAGCAAGTTGGGCCTCATCCATTTCAGTGTTGTCCGATAAACTACTTCCGTTGATGTCTGCAAAGATAATGATATTTGAAATGTATTCTTAAAGTAAACAAAACTGCACTACTTACTGTGCTGTCAAACAATACCCACTGAGTCCCAAAAAATAATTCAAACGCAATAGTATCATTCCAATTGATAAATGCTTCTGGACAACTTAATTAGGGGCCTTAAATTTCCCAATTTTTTTAATACTTCATCATACAAATGAGATATCTATTGAAATATGTTTGGAAGGGCAAGAATAATGTCTCAACATGTAACATACATGTATACCGGTATATGTCTGATACATATTTATGCTTGAGCTATGAAAATAAGGGCATATTTCACTCAGTCCAATACTTAATTTTCCAGCCAGCTAATTTCAGTTGGTAGGGCTTGTGTTTATGAAGAATTTAGTATCAAAAATTTTGTTGGAGATGATCGTGAGTTCACAGGTTTTGAAAAAATAAACTAACAAAGTTTCTTTGACATCAATTCAAACTACCACCAGCAGTTACACTCAAGAAAAAATTGCAACTCTGCAAAGCATTGCCATGACTTTAGTGCACAGCACATCCTAAAGTATAAACAATGTTACAAAGCTTCATAATGCTAGTCATGCAAAGCAAACTTATACCTCAAACTTAATATCACAAAAAAAACCCACTCTGATTTTAATGCAACAAAATGCTGTGGATGCCCGACATGTGGTTACATTCTATCATCAAAGTCAAAGACATTCTCTAATTGTAAATTCACCACATCTTCTCTGTGGCAAGTTTTTCTTCTTTTCTCTGCCCGTATTGATTCCCCAGTTTCTCTGGGTTTTGTTTCTTTACTTTTAACCTCACTTCATGAAGGATTAGATTTTAATCACTTTCACTTTTTTTTTAAATGGGCATATATTTATGAATTTCGAATTTACGAATACAGTATTTATTATAAGCACCAGATCATTGCTCCATGGTCTTAAAAATGTAACTGCCTTTACAGAAAATGGACAGTTATTTACACTCCTCCTCCTTTTTTTCATTTCGCCCATTTTTCTTTTATGAACATCGATTCTGATAAGGACAAGATTTTACTGTAATAACCCTTAATCTTAACTTTCATTTGTTTTAGAGGCTCAATACAGATTTATGCATACTGCTTTAACCTCAAAATATCAAAAGCAAATAACTATTATTAACCGATACCAAACCATAAATCGACAACTATCTAACTGCATGTTCAAGGTTACCCAATGAAATATCAAACAAATAGCCTAACCAGACACAAAACTTTTTAATGTAGTGATGCACTTTGACGTCTTCAAAAATTTTCAAATTTTGTATTTTTTGTTTCTTTTCAATGCATCAATTATAAACATAAACAATGGTCCTGAATACGTCTGGCTCTAATGCTAACCAATAGAAAAAACATAAGTGGATTTAAAAAAAACTATATGTCAGTTTCGAATGGATAAAAAAATTGTGTAGTGAAATGATGATTTCTACAGCTACACATAGATTTACCAGACACAAGAAACCAACCTTTTACAACCCCATCCACAATTTTACTGGTGGTCTCATTCAAATGCTCACCGAGGACATGCGTACTGCCAATGTTATCAACGGTTTCATCACACACAGTGTTAACACTAGCAGTGTGGAAAGTGACGCCCTCCTCTATCACAGACTGCTTGGGCTCGTTCTCCACACCCAAATTAAGCCAGTTGAGTGTATCTGACAATTTATCACTTGATGCTTGTGTATTGCTATTTGATGTGGTCGTACTACTGTCTGGGGGACCTGACATACTGTACATCTTATCCTCCCGTACTTTTGTGGTCACATGAAAGTTAGTGGCAGCTCCATTGACAATATCAAAATCTAAATCAATCTCAGGTAAAGGAGTTCGCCAATACTGGAAAGAATTGAAATTGGTTCCTACATTATCTAAATGTATATGCACTACATCTTCTGATCCAGCAGAAGAGCTTTCTTTTTCTTTTTCTGTTGAATTTGATAAAACGTTTTCAGAATTATTTTTCGATGGTTCTTCCTGTTGCTGCAGTGACTCCTCATTATCACAGACCTGCTCACATTTGTTTGTTTCACAATGGTCACTACTGTCTGCTATATGCACTTCAGAGTTTTCATGTGACGCAGACTTTCCAGCATCCTTGTAACATTTTGCTCGCAGCTCTTCTGGTGAAATATCTGGCGAGTCTCTATTTTCTGACTTGAGAATACCTTGCACATCATTTTCATTGTCAGCGGTGGAAATTTCCATGGGTTCCCCAATGCCGCTATTATCACAGCTACCATCTACACTACCACTTTGATTGTCGTCTTCCTTATCTGTGTCATCCTTGTAGACAGGAGGAGGCACAAGCATGTCATCTTTGTCCATCTGCCCAACTATATTTTGAAGTCGTTCACCACTTTCCCTGCATAAATGATTAAATATGATATGCAATTTACATTCCAGTAAAATTTAGCACATTAATATTCACATAGTTTCCTAAATTGGAATTATTTTGGCAACAAAGTCCTATATCAAATCATATGTTGATATATTATTTTCTTCCATTTCTTTGTGTGCAAAGCTCAATGGACTTGATCAAGCTTTACAACTTTTCAGAATCAAATATGGTAAATAACAATAATAATACTACAAAAATGTTCAACATGTATATCTGGGATATGAGAAAATAAACTGGTATTAACATCGAAATAGACATTAACACAAAAATAAGTTTAATTGTATCAGGATCAGTATTTTGCACTTAAGCTCCTCGTTTTAAGGCATAGTCCAAAAACCCTAAATATGGAAAACAGGTATTGACCACTGTATTTCTTCACTGACTGAGAAGACAATTTTAAATTTACAGTGTTATTTTTATGCAAGGTAATACTTACAATGCTAATATTATTTCCGGGTTCTTGATACAGAGTATGCCATCATCATCAACATATAATCCGGTCACTCCTGGGTCAGCAAACGTGGAAATGAATGGACCTAGTTGTTGGAAAGCTGCCATCCGCACCTTTACCAAATCAGAAAATAATTTTCTATTGAAAGAACAACATATATATCCTTTTGTATCTTCTAAATTTGACTCTATAAAATTGTTATAAAGTGTTCAGAAATCCAGTTTCAGTGGAATCAACTATTATGATATCTTACTCCATGAAGTTTCTTTCGAAATAAAATTGAGCAAAACTTAAATTAGATTTGATAAATTCATAACTAATTCTCTTTTAAGTGATCCAAATGAAAATATCTAAGTCTGGCAAAAGGCTGTTGCTGATGGAACACAAGACTTCAAACTAGATTCCACACAGATTAACAGATATTGTATGGTTACTTAAAACACAACTTCTTCAAATAGCAGTATCAATCCTATATCATACATTTTGTATGCAATTAACAATTTGAAGACTCAACATTTGGAATAATTGTTTTTATCAAATACTCACCCATCGTGACAAGTCACACAGCAGATTAACAAAAAGGGTTGAGAGTTCTCCTCGCCTTACGTCTGGTGAGCAGGCACATGACACAGCCATGAAGCACTCAGCACAGGCTTTTCTTACTCCCCACACGCCGTCTTCACAAAGATAGTAAAACTTCGGCAACTGAAAAATGTTTAATCTTTCATTAATTTTTTTTAAAAACTTGACTTAGTATTTCACAAACTAGAACACATTATTTCATTGTAAATAAATAAATAAAAAAAACCCCAACAACCTTGGACCAATGGCAATGCAGTTAAGATTTTCCGAAAAGGAAATTAATAATGACCTTGCAGATATCTAAACTCTGGAACTCCAGTCCTCTCAAATCTTACCATTGTAACAATTTCTATACAAGTACAAAGTCATTAGAGTGACAACATGTTTTGGATCACTCCAATATCTTAACTAGTACTATTCCCTATTCTTTGATGGCACAATTTTTCAGTTAAGCCAAAATATTCTTTTGAGAAATGTTTTACAACACTGCTCTTACCAACTGCTGTTCAGTGTTTCCTTGTCCAACTACAGTGCAAAAATCCCCAAAGTTTGCAGCACACACCTGAAATATTAAACGGTCTTGGTTGAATTAAGAAAATCTCTTTCACAATGAATCTAAATAAGGCATCCTCAGAGTTCAATAGATGATGCTTTGAAGAAATTCATTACAAATATGTAAAATTATCTTTGGGTCTTTTGGGTTAGACTACACTTAGGGTAAACACAACATCACCTACAAACATGGACCTTGCTTTCACAGAACTTTGCAAAACTTCATTTCAACATATTTTCATTGACAAGATTTTAAAGTCAATGTGGATTGAATAACATGTCAAAATTTGCTCATGATTGTATGACATACAAATATCACCTCTTAAAAATTTCTATTTTCAGTTGCAATTTAAAAAATTAATCAAACTTTGTATCTTGTGGTGCTCAAACATTATTTGATATGACAATGGACAATATTATTCCTGGCCATTTGGATGTAATTATCACTGGATTCCACTTCCTAGAAGTCATCTAGTATAATTATCATATCTTTGTATGTAGGAAGGAACTTTGTGTATATTTTGTTTATATTGCAAACTGTTGAAAGATGTGATCAGGTAGCCAGTTTCTTCACTCTTCTGGAGTTTTCAAAGTCTTCTCTCGGTACAATGAAACTTGATGTAATTTGTTTTGGAACAATGAGTGGTATTAGAAAGCTCTGTACAAGCTTTTGCCAAGATTTGTATTACACCAGCAGTGAATGGAACCCACAGGCAAACTAGGCACAGTCAGATAGATCAAGTGATTACTATAGGGCTCTGCATCTCACCCAGATATTACACTCTAATAAAGGACTGAATAAATTGGGAACTTCTTTTCCTTGACCCAGTGATTTTAACAAGACTTTCCATCACCACCTCAGCTCTGATGTTACTGACTGTGCATGTTTTAATACCCATCACCACCTCAGCTCTGATGTTACTGACTGTGCATGTTTTAATACCCATCACCACCTCAGCTCTGATGTTACCGACTGTGCATGTTTTAATACCCTATGTTCAATAAGTCAAAACTGAAAAATGCATTTGGTAAAGGGTGCCCTAAGGTTAAGGTTTATAACACAGGATGCAATCTAAGTTTTTATTTTGTTAATCACAATCAAAACAGTAATCAAGACCCGAAAAAAGTAAAAAAATTACCTTTCGAACGTGAAAAAGAGGATCTGTACACATCTCGCAGTATCGTGGAAGGAACACACGCTCTGTCATTTCCTTTCCTAACAATGGAGCCATTTTGCTCATCAGCTGCAACAGTTAAACCACTGAATTTAAATCGACTACAACACAATGCATATAAAAGATAATTAACATGGACAGGGATAAATGTCAATGCACATGAAACTTCACACCATGAGTGATGATAGGACAAAAATGTCTGTCATCAAAGCTGGCTGTGATATGACACATATCAACACATCACTGCCACTTTGACAGCAACATATTCCGTCTTTTCTTTCTTACCTACAAGAGATCATAATGGCACACATACACAGGCTTAAAATGAAAGCTCCTCCACTACTACATAAAAACACATACATCATTTATAATGAAAACTGGCAGCATTAGGCTCCATTGGTAACCATAAATGCATGCATCCTTTAGAATGTAAACTCCTCAATCAACACACAGAAATATATACATCATTTAGCATGAAAAATCCCCTACCTCTACACAGAAATATATACATTCAGAATGAAAACTGGAGGTATTAGGCTCCATCAGTGAACAGAAATACATCCATCATTTGAAATAAAAACTGAATAGAATGAATACCCCTCCAAAGGAATACAGAAATACATACTTATTTGGAATGAAAACTCCTCCATTGATTAACATAAATGCATTATTTAGAAAGAAAACTCCATCAGCACACAGAAATATGAACATTATTCAGCATGAAAACTCCTCCAACAGCACACACAAATACATACATCATTTAGAGAAGAAATTACATTTTTTTTTCGAGATTTGAGGATGAGTTGCTGCTTGGCTTTCCTGTCAAAGCTCATCAAAGCTGGCTGTGATATGGAATAGTGTAGCACATCACAGCCACTTTGACAGTCTTGACGGACTGGACTCCTGATCTGTGTTGGTCTGCATCACGTTGTCTGCCAGTGTCAGCATAGCTGACTATATTTAGTTTAGCTGACTTGTATAATTCACCATTTATAACAAGCATAGTGTCTCGCCCCTTTCTACTTATCTGCTGCAGGATACCCCCAAAAGCTCATCAAAGCAGGCTGTGATATGAGCAATGTTCAACACATCACTGCCACTTTAACGAGCCCATGGATATCAAATTTCTTCATTGTATAATATCCCGAATGTCAAAAATTGAATCAGCTACAGACAGTATATATCACTGCTCGCTAGGTATCATGTACATGGGCCATCACGGTGTTACCTGAAGCCGCTGAGCTCATCAAAGCTGGCTGTGATATGATATATATAAACATAATCACAGCCACTTTGACAAGTCAAAAGCCAATATTCCAAATGTTTTGATATGATCAAACAATCACATTATGGCGAAAAATAACTGACACATAGAACATAGGAAAAAGTAGTGTTGAAAGACATGAGATGTGATATGACTTTAATGCGAGATGAAGTTGATACTGCCCTGAGCTCATCAAAGCTGGCTGTGATATGATAATTTTAAACATTTCACAACCACTTTGATGCCTCTGACCAATACTACAGGCACATAAACGATCTCCTTACAACACAACAATCGCAGTACACTGTTCAAAGGCAAACATGCACAAAAAGCAAAACAAACTCTGGTATACACAACATGCACCAAACTAGCAGACAAAACGTCACAATATAAAGCATTAAAACAACAGGATAAAAAATACAAAACCAAACGATTAAATAGACAGCAACTTTGCATCTGACAAAAATCCCATTCTTTGCACTGAATCCCTATATCAGTATATCAGCATATATGCTAGAATTGTTCTAATAAACACACATTATTCAAAATAAAGCATAATGATTGGGCTTATTGTACAGATAAAAATGCCAGAATATTAAAGAGCTACACTATCAAAATGTTGTGCAAGAATTGCCACCCTATTTGTGGGCATAAATGGAATGAAAGCTTCAAACAAAGCAGGTTCTGATGAGAAGGTCATTGGGTATGGATAATAAAGGAAATGGGTAGTGGTATGAAAAACATTTGACAAAGAATTAATGATGCCAAGTGACCAGAATGATGGTTATGCCAAACTTAGGTACTGATCCAAGCAGGCTGTGATACAGTTAATATCAATGAATCACAACCACTTAGTCAGAACCTCAATTCAGCTCTTCAGGTTTCTTGTAAAACTAGTAAAACACAACACCTGGGAAGCAGTCGGATAAAAAAAATATAATGGGAAAATGGACACAAAAACCACTGAAGGAGGTAATAATGGTGAGAAAGCAGACAGTATGGCTCATCAAAGCTGGCTGTGACAGGGCGTATAGCTTACTATAACATCCAGCATTGACAGACACACCGCACTGACGGGTGAATCTTGCAATGACAAGCATTCCAGTGGACACAACTCTTCACAATACCTTGACCACCTACAACATCTCAGGTTGTAACGACATTTAATATACATGCAAAAACACTCACTATATTTAAAGCATTACCAGCTGAAGATGGAATAACTCAACAAGAAACGGAATTAGAGTGAAGCATGTCCTGCTACAACAACACTTCTATATGGCAGCATATACCCCCACTACGCAAAAGACAGGGTAGTAAGGTGATGCTGTAGAACATCTCACTACCCATGTCTTTCACAAAGTAGAGGAAAACGGATCCTTCCACAGGAAAGTGGGGCATCTTTTTTAGTTTGTAATTCTCAAGCTCAATATTGCACCAAATGAAGATAATCCTTATACTCATCTACTTTCGTATAAAACCAATAGTCATACAAACACTTGATATTTATTCTATTCCTGTGTGATAAACTTACAGCAACAGCCTCGGTTCTATAGTCATCTAAACTATCAGGACTGGCAAGGTCGAGGATGACGCTCACTACCTGCTGTTCTATATCCGCTGAAATGCACAAAAATAAAGCAGATGATTACTAATGGGTGTATTTTATTGTTCCCAAAACAAGCATTCTAAGAAATGTGTTCAAAGATGTTAAGCCATATTCCTCTTGCACTAAAAAGCTTAAAATCCTTGCAGATTGTTTAAGCTCAACAAATCCAGCAAATGTTTACACCAAGATCTTTATAACAGATTAAGGTTTTTGTGAACGTTTGTGCCTGTGAACAAGTACTCTGATTATAATGAGATATAATCTGTAGCTAGAATAGAAAATTGTCAAAATGGAAATATCCTGTGAAAGTTTGTATAATTATGAAAATATATTTTCCCCTTTTACTTAACTCACCTTTCACAATCAGCTCCTGTTCCAGCAGCACCAATAGAGCAGCTTGGCTTGTTTTCCTTACCTAGAAAAAGACAATTTAATGTTGCAACAATGAGAGTATTCAACTACACAAAGTTCAATATTTACAGGCCAATTTGTGCATAAAGTCTAACCCTGAAACCTGACAGAGGATGAGACTTTAATGAACACTCCAGCAGTAATTTGGTTCCTTTCCACTACCTTTCTAGAATTCCATAATTCCTTACCTTTCAAAATATTCAAGATCTTGAAATTGGAAAAGCTCAAGCAAAGTCTCAATGACAAAAAGATGATTTTAGCATGAACTTCCAACAAGGAAGACTGGCCAATTACCTGATTGTGATGGTCGTTGAGGTACCGGACTACCATAGGTAGGACATACAAAGGCACAGAATTTTGGAACACTATAGCATGTTCATGGCAATATACTGCTATGTGTGGAACCTGTTCCATCAACTCTGATCGAACAATGGGATCTGAAAAACAAAATATTTAGGATCAGAACAAAGTCAATTTAGGGTTTACATTATGGAGGCATTAATTTTCCTTTTTGAAAGTAATAGCAAATATACCTGTACTTTTTAAATATGGATAACCTTTAGGTAAAATCATATTTCCAAACTAACTTCGTAGGTTGTACACATCCAGATATTTTACAGTGACATGAATGACCATGCCACAATTTTGGGCCACTTTAGCATTATTGGTATATGGTATGCTCAAGACTCAAGAAAAAAAATGGGAAAAATTTATGGTATTAAAAAAATATAAGTTCTGTCTGCAGATTTTTTTACTTAATTCTCAATGGAAGACACTTATAATATTCGGTATTATGAAAATTTTACATGACATTCACAAAGTGACCATTGACAAATCAAAACCTGACCTACATATCCAGTGCTCCAGATAACTTTTTGACATGTGGGGTTTTCACTCCTACCTTTATAAATTGAGGGGTTTTTTCACCCCTGCCTTCATCAAGTGTATGGGTTTTTCCATATTAGGGTAACACTGAATTTGTAAACATTTTTGACAGCGCCATATTTGCTATGCGACTGGTTTATAATCACGATCAAGAAAGCGCTTGTTACAAGTTTCGTTTACTTGATAAGTGTCTGTTTGACTTAGATTATTGAGTTTTCTAACTACGTAATATTGGAGCCGGACATTGACGCAGAGTCCGGATTTCGCACGGGTTAATGACGCAAATCTTATTTTTTTCCTAGCGTGAAATTAGAAATATTGTGTGTGAAAACGCATTCACGCAGGCTATCTGGAGCACTGATATCATTTTACAAATGCATAAAGACACATTTCAGTATCTGTATTCATCAAGCAGTAAATGAGCAGAAACAAAGATTATGATGGAATGACTAATAAGGATAATATTGTATCCCTAAACCTTGAAAGATCAGTCAAACATGCACTTTCTGTGAATTGCAAAAGACTAGATCCATCTCCTTAAAACAGAAAAATTTCACACAGATGTACTAACCACTGTCCTCAGACAACCTGACCATGGCATTAAGGACGGCAACACATTCCCCGTCTGTTGTGTCCTCCACAGCCCGCAGTGTATCCAGCAGACCTCTTGCCACCATTTGTCTGTTAAAATAAACACCAATTTCAAAATTCTTTTTTAAACAAAAAAAGTTATTTTTAATACATACTCAAGATTTTCATGGTACTTTTGATATCTAACCAGACATGGACACCTGTTTCCAACTGTTGATGTTTTAATTTTTCCCAATGCAGTCTGCACAATATCCAAAAATATATTTCCTAAAATGGCCAAGGAAAATACAAGATCTTACTGTAATCAAAATTTCTAACAGAAAACATAGAACATATTAATGAAATAAATATTTTTATGTTTGATAGGAGCTGACAGCATCATTTACCTTGTATAAACATTGTCACTCTGCATGTATTTCTCAAGTTTCTGAAGTGGCGTAAGCTTGTCATCTGTTCCATAACTGTCTTCTCCATCAAGGCTGTCGTCCAATCCAAATCCTATAAATATATGTTGTATAAGACATTTGTACTTACCAGAGAGTGTCTGGACAATCTAAAATTTGGAAATTGCATGCTTATTGTGTCCTGATTAATTTTCAAAAAATTTGTCAAATTAGAAAAAGTTCTTTCTTCACTTACCATATCAATACGACTACAGTACTAACAAGAACACAAACTTGAAACAAGAATTACAACTGCCTGTTTAATTTACATGATTTTCATGTATTTAGCAGTAATGTGTTACAGGTTTATTTTTAAAGAATCACTAACCAATTTTTTTTGATAAATATATTCATTAACATGAAAGAGAGAGAGAAACCTTAACAAGTCTGATGTTTGCTGAAAACCAAACAGCATAATTGGTATTTTGGCACTGTATGATGGAAAATTATTAAGCTTGAACAGTAAATGTGTATCTGAAGATGAAACCTGATCAAATACAAAGATAGGATGCTTGATAGTGCTTAATTTTAAATCATATCACAGCATTTTCTAGTAATGCTTTTAGCTCAATGAAAGTTCTTTTTACATGAATGCTACTTACAATACCCATATTTAAAACTATAATAATTTTCAAATAATCTCTTATCAAGTTTTCTCAAGTTTTAAAAGCAAAATAAAAACTCGCAACTTTTACAAGTCTGCAGCAACATTTTACATGCAATGTACCACTGAAGGTATTTCTACCACAGTAACTTGGGAGACTTCAAACATGATCCGAAAACCTGTACAAAAAACTGGAACTAGTCGATTCCACAATAACTAGGAATATTCTGTATGTCTTTTTTTTTCAAAATATTGTTAATTTTGTTTTTCTTAAAAATTAATCCATTAACATGTAATTTCAATGCAATACCTTTAATTTGGGTAAAATGGTGAGTTGGTTTACTGAAATGATGTTTGAATAAAGTTAACCATAAATTTCTAAGTATTAAGTCACAAAGAATAAACAATATTACAACACTGGATTAAATATTGGTTGGTTAGATAGATATATAGTTGTGCAACAACTGCCTAAATACCAGGTAAACACGTGTTCCTCATAGATCAAGAAAGAAGATCCAAATAAAAAAAATATATAAAAAAAAATCACAACAAATGAATCGACGAAAAAAAAGAAAAGTTTACGGAAACCTCTACACCTGCCCGTAATAGTCGTAGGACATGTGCGCGGACTATTTACATGGGGAGATGGCTTCCTGCACAATGGCTTTGTTCTCGAACGTTTCTTGGACCTTCATATATTACCTCATATGACATTTACATTAATAAATTCATCTGCAAAATGAACTGCTTTAAAATTCTGTACAATATTCGATATACTCACGTCAATAAAAAAACCCAAAATTGGCGGGCTCCTGTCGAATCCCCCCGCTGAAGGAGATGGCAGCGTGACCCAATTTACCATTAATCACAGAACCACTCATGAAGGATGTTCTTACTCATAAATGACTAAGTGCCGATATTTCGAAATCAATACCGAGACATAATACGAGTAAGTAACATCAAAACATAAAATACTTCAGAATTTCCACGAGAGAAATAAATTAGGGTAACACGAAATCACACAAAATACAAACGTCCCGAAATTGAACGGGACATCACTGCGCGCGAACACTACAGTTCAAAAGGTCAGGGAAACCCAAGGTCACGTGACCCACCTTCATGGCATCACGATATTCGGAAAAACTCGGCGTCGTGTTTGAATTTCGACCAAAATACACGTGCACAGATATCATTCAACAATTATTACACTATTCCTGCTCAAAATACCAAAATAAACTTATCTATGACATAGAAATCACACCATGAAATCATTTTATGAATGAGAAATTTACAAATAACGGCGCGAAAGGATATCGAATCTATATAGAACTTGGGACGGCATTTTTCTTCTCCGCATCATCAAAACTGACCCACATACGATTATAATAAAATGGAGGCAATACATACCATCTTCGGGGTTGTCATCGTTTAAGTCGGTATAAAAGTCAATATCTGAAAGGTAATATAATTACGTCAGTGAAGGCGCAAAAGTTCAAATTTCGTATAACAAACTATTGATATGTGAGGAGGACTCACCCGCCATGTTGGAAAAGGCCCATCAATATGTAACAGGCGATACGATTGGTCGGCTTGTTGGAACTTCCCGTTTTTGATTGGTTGGTAATATTTTGTTTTTCGGATAGTGCCGAAGTTTGCCGAAGGTTCACGATGAGTCAGAAATCGTTTTATTTGTCTGACATTTGCATCGTACTTCTAATGCATTTTCGTCGTTTATTGTGATGCATATTGTCACATCGATTCCGTATTTGTTGCATACGTGTTGCACTATCTTCCATGTACACAGGATTGTGTGTATATAGGTACAATTTCTCGGTTACATCTTCAAGGAAGACAAAGGGGTGTGCTGAAAGGGTGTGATAGGGCGTCTGGTGCAATTTGGTTCTAAGTGGGTGCGTCCGCGTAGTGAAAATAGGCCATATAAATAGACTTTTTTTGTGTACTACATAATTGACATTAAGAGAGCTACCACATTTTTTGTTAATATAAATACACTGATTATTATATTGCATTGTTGTTGGTGTTATTTAATGTTGTTAATGAAGAATGGTTTGTCCACAAAATATAATTATATGTAATGTAGCAGGAAGCTACCATGATGATCAGGCTGCTGCCAGTGAAAACAGAACGGTCGCCTACATAATTACCAAATAACCGATCGATACTAATCGTTGATCACGGAAATACTTAAACCATTTGTTGTTTCTTAAATATATTACCAGGTTGCACTTGTATGCAATGATGATTTTAACCACTTGTCATTATAATAATTATATTATTAGTTATGACTTGAAATTATATGAATATAACTGATGACGAATGTGGAGGATACGTTATAATTAACAAAAGTGACACACGTGTGTATATCACATTATATTGTGTTGCCTGGTTTACACATAAAGAGGAAAATAGAAGTTCAGAGGAAACGATTTTAACAATTTTTACAGAATTTCAATAATGCTTCGTGATAGTGTTCGGATAAGTACTATGGACTTAATGTAGATAATCTAATTCCACCATGTTTGTGTGGTGTCTTCATTCATATGTTAGGATTTCACTGGACCTCAGTGACGTAGTATGTCAGGATTTCACCAGACCTCAGTGACGTAGTATGTTAGGATTTCACTGGACCTCAGTGACGTAGTATGTTAGGATTTCACTGGACCTCAGTGACGTAGTATGTTAGGATTTCACCAGACCTCAGTGACGTAGTATGTTAGGATTTCACCAGACCTCAGTGACGTAGTATGTTAGGATTTCACTAGACCTCAGTGACGTAGTATGTTAGGATTTCACCAGACCTCAGTGACGTAGTATGTTAGGATTTCACTAGACCTCAGTGACGTAGTATGTTAGGATTTCACTGGACCTCAGTGACGTAGTATGTTAGGATTTCACCAGACCTCAGTGACGTAGTATGTTAGGGTTTCACCAGACCTCAGTGACGTTATATGTTATATCATTAGACGTAGTGTGGAACCGTGTTCATAGAAGAGGTGTGTTTTCCCCAGTTACATCATATAGATATTTTTTCATCATGTATTATAACTTAATTGCTATTAATTAAGCGATGCGGGTACTTAATACGTAAGAGAATAGCAGTGATTTGAGAATTTTAAAGCGAGTAGAAACTTACCTAGTATCAATTTCATTTGAAATAATGTATTTAACTTCTGGATTTCGTTTAGGTGCAGTAGTTTAGGTAATGTTTACACTGAAGTAATGCTACATTCTACTGACTAGCTTTCACCTTTATATTCCCACATAACTAGCTTTTGACAGAAGTTAACACCTGTTCGGTCGCACTTACCACCATCACACCTGTTACCTGAGATAAGTAGGGGGTACAGGTGTGTCCGAAATTTTGTTCTATCATAATCACTTCCATCTCCCCCGGGTTCTTAGTACAAGTGAGTGCCCAGAGGTGTGACCATCATTAACCTACTAATTATAACATTAATGTGTCAGACGTTTGGTATTGACGATTGAACTTCTCACGGGCATCTAGTAACCCCCCTTTTCTTCACTACGGCATGTAAAACGTTATAGTATTCTAATACATTGTGACATAAGTAATCGTGTCACGTGATTACTTTTCAAAAACATATATATGATGTATTTTGTATATTTTTATCTCATATTCATCAATGTAACACATATGCATATGATACGTATGGGATGGGAAACAAGCTTATTAATAAGATTTAATCAACAATAATTATTTATTTAGACGGAGACGCGTTTTCTGAACGGTTTTCCTGTTAAAGACATCAAAATCATGAAATGCTATCACCAACGTTCCCTTGCGGAAAATTGTTTTCTTTTAAAAGAAGAACCAACATACTAAAATGCCATTCAGTCGAGGAGAGCCCTAGATGGGTGATCACAATATCGGAAACATTCACTGATATATCCCGATCTATGTGATACCTGGGTTCAAAGTGTCTAAATAGTCAAGTCCCAAGAATACATGAAGATTCATATGCGTGTCTGTACTCCGTGATATCCCAAGTGTATCATTCCGGAGAGCGAGAAGTGTCTCCTTATTTTGTAACGTCCCCAGTGTATCGTTCTTGGAGAGGAAGAACAGTGTTCCCGTATTCTGTGACGCCCCAGTGTATCATTCTTGGAGAGTAAGAACAGTGTTCCCGTGTTCTGTGACGTCCCCAGTGTATCGTTCTTGGAGAGGAAGATCAGTGTTCCCGTATTCTGTGACGCCCCAGTGTATCACTCTTGGAGAGTAAGAACAGTGTTCCCGTGTTCTGTGACGCCCCAGTGTATCATTCTTTGAGAGTAAGAACAGTGTTCCCACGTTCTGTGATGTTCCCAGTGTATCATTCTTTGAGAGTAAGGACAGTGTTCCCGCATTCTGTGACGTCCCCAGCGTATAATACCTGAAGAGTGAGCAGAGTCCCCCTTACTGTATCA